GGATCACTGTGACACCAACATTTCTGCCAATCTCAGACACCTCCTGTTCACTTAGTCTCCTCATTTATATACAAAGATTTTATAGGACCTGAAAAATGGGAAATCATTGAATTCCGGCTCATTACCAGCTCTGAGGAAGCCCTTCTTCATTCATTTAATACACAGCAACGGTATGTATGGTAGCTACAGAACTACCCTCAGTGACTAACAGAGAACCAAGGCAATAAGACAAGTACAGTTGTCCAGTGTGGCTTTCCTGACACCAAGTTAACTCCAGTTGCTATCTTTTATTTCATTGGTTAATGAAGGAATGAAAAGCCAACATTACACTTAAATGAGCTGGGCATTGCTGTTCCATCTTAAGGTGGTTCTTAAGATAAGTATACTGCATGAGGAACCAGTCCATGAAGAATCAGTAGATTTCATCAACACTGTAATGTGAATTCCTTCGAGGTTAGTAACTGTAGATGGGAAATCTGCTATAATACTATTTCTCAAGTTATCTGGCTATCTAGAAAGATATCTGAATATTCAGAATGTTTGTTTAAGATTCTAAAAGTAGCAAAATTGGGTCTTTCTGTTATTATTTCATTGTGTAGTTCAAATACAGAAAAAATTTTATTTGATTTTAATTTATATAATTTGAAGCCATAAAAGGGACATCAGTATTGTTTAATTACTGTAATACAGCATCCTTAAAATGTTTTCAGTGCTAACATCAAACTTCAAAGAACAATAATGAAATAAAGTTAAAGCTGTATGGCTTAAAAGAAACAAGCAGCCATACAATAAGAGAGACCAGCTGTCTTGGCACACAGGCTGGCAAGGGACTTGGTCCCAGTCACTAGGTGTAGTTAGAGCGATGACCTAGCCTCTACCAAGTCTGCACACTGAAATCCCGGCCTCATGAGGAAGGACCCAGAGGCATGCAGACCTTGGGGCAGCAGGAGGCTCTTCATGAGCAAAATGCCCCTCACTCTCTGCTCTTTGCCTGGGTGGACACAGCCAGAGGCAGCAGTCTGCACGGCAGGATGCAGGCTGGGGCACCAGGCCTCAGACTGCACCCTCCGCAACTGTGAGCACGGGGGAGTCTTGGCAGCCCAAACCAACCAAGGTCTGAACAGCAGAAATGTAAAGCTAGCCATGGGCAGAAAGAAACAGTGCGGCATTTCAAAACCAGGAGGGAAGGCGAGAGAAGATGAAAGAAGCAAAGTAAGCATGAGAAATAGAGGCAAGCCAGGCATGTGAGCTGCACACCTCTAATCACAGCACTGAGGAGGCTGGAGCAGGAATAGAACACAAGTTCAAGGCCAGCCTGGGCTATATAGTAAAACCCTGTCTCAAAAAAAAAAAAAAAGAAAAAGAAAAAGAAAAAAAGTAAAAGAAAAAGAAATAAAGGCATGTCATAAGAGAGAAAGGCTGGAAAGAGAAAGTGGAAGAGAATGAAAAAGCCCAAACACACCAGTCATCAGCATAAAGGTCAAACATCTAGTGCCTGCTAAGACTGCATTTAAAAAAAAAAAAAAAAAAGAACTAAACAACTTACAAAATCAGAAAATAAATAAAAAACAAACTTACAAATGAATGTGGGGTAAGCCATTCAGGACTTCTCCTATCTCTCAGGAACTATTCTTCCCCATTCTATTTCCCCAATAAGTTTTCCTGTTCTTAAAAAAAGAATGTAAAAAGGGCCGGGGAGATGGCTCAGTGGAATAAGTGCTTCCCTGGCAAGCACAAGGGCCTAAGTTCAATCCCCGGTTCCCCAAAAAAAAAAAAAAAGAATGTAAAAACACAAAAGCACGTATTCATATTCCATGGTCATCTTCTAATGAAATAAGATAAACCCTGAAAGCCCAGGTAGGCAGGAACCCGAGTACAAGGAGAGGCTGTGAGGCCTCCTGTGACTGGAAAGCAAAGGCCCACCACCCTGCCGACCAGGTCAGCTCAGAAACAGGAGGCAGGCACACTGGGAACAAAAGCCAGTGTCTGCCAACCCCACAAATCCCTACCCAAAAAATAAAACTAAATGCTTTTATAATCACAGCACAAAAATAGCACATCCAGCTGAAAGTTCACCCAAGGTATTCTTAAAAAGCCAGACCAGCTGGCTCCCAGGGCAAGCACAGGGTCCAGTGCCTATCGATAGACAAGGCAGGGAGACAGCCAGGCAAGGGTGGGAGCGCTCTGAACCTCTTATCTGTGGTCACTCAAATTAAATAATTATGTTAGCAGAAAAATGCTGCTAGGGCCAGTCAGATAGCTCAACAGACTTAGGCAGAGCACAGCGGCCCGGGTTCGAGCCCCAGCTTGTAGTGCTGGCCCCGCCCCCTGGGGCGTGCTGAGATGGCAAATTGAGACTGAGCATGGTGGCATGCACCTGTAATCCCAGTGCTTGGGAGGCTGAAAACAGGAAGATTACTACGAGTCCAATCTAAGCAGCGAGACCCTGTGCTAAATATATTTAAAAAAGAAAAAAAAAAGAAGAATGCTATTAATAATAGCCAGTAAGCTTTTCCTTCTGCTCATGAAATTATTTTAAATCTAGACCATCACAGTGTAAGATGAGACTGATAAAGCTCCTGAATCTGCAGAGCCGGCCACAGTGAGTGCAGGCGTGAAGAACAAGTGGGAGGTGCATTCTTTCCACGAGTTCAGTTCAGAGCGCTTGCCTGCATGGCCCACGGGGGCAGGACTATAACTCTGCAGCCAGGACAGCTGACCCCAACACCATGAAGTGCCCCGTCCACCTACCGCCCCTGAGTACTCACCAGCATATTAACACCTGACTGGAGAGCTAACGCAGCAGTTGGGTTGGGTTATACTAACCTTGAAGTACTTTCTCTTTGTTAAGTCTTGTTTCTCCACTAAAAAAAGAGGGGGAAAAAATCATTATCACATTATGCTACTTTAGAGCACAGGAAAAAAATCAGCAATAGAGATATGAACTTTGTAACATATTTTGTAATCTAAGCTGCAAAAATGTAATTTAGTCTGAACTATCTGTTCTAATAATGAACTCAAAAACTTCAAACTTCCCCAGAATAAAATGCAAATATATAGATTAGGAAACAACCTTAACTGCAAGAGAAAAATGCCACTAAGAGCCAGGAAGATAGCTCAATGGTGTACACGCCTGCCTGGCAAGCACAAGAACCTGGCTTCGATCCCCGATTCCATCATGCAGTGCTGGCCCCTGAAACTAGGTGTGGAGGTAAATGTCTGTAATCCCAGTGCTGGGGAAGATGAGACAGGAGGATCACTATGAGTCTGAGCTGCAAGATTCTGTTCCATATACATTGTTAGTCTTGTCTAAATAAATTATTGATCAAAATTCCTTTCACGGTAGGCAGGACCAAAACATGAAAGCCTAGCAACAACTAAGTGAGCAAGGGAAAAAACATCAGGATACAACGGGAAGAAGTCCAGACCCCACAAAGCCTGCCCTCTCTCACTCCCTAGAGGTATGATGGCAAGCCTTTTAGAGACCGAGTACCAAAACTATAACCCCAACTCACATCTTTATAACAAAGTACCAACATGCAATTAAACCTGAATACTGAGGCTTTAGTGCAGAAAAAGCAGCTGTTCTCTCGGCTGCTGGGGTGACCTGGCTGGAATGCTGACATGGGGATCCCTGTGCCCACCAGGTTCTGCCACTGCCTCAGACCTTGGGTAGCTGGCTACCTGCTGCAGAATGAAGAACTGCTTTGCAGAGCACTGCACATGGAAATGAGACGTGGGCACTGTATTTTCCAGGAATGAAAAGTCAAAATAAACCCAAACATTTTTGAAGCAGCCAGAAGGGTGAGAGGCCTGGAAATTCAATCATAAGAAAACTGGGTCAACAAGGCAGGCTAGATGGAGGTTGAGGGCCAAGACCAATGAGAGAAGGGGCAGACCTACAGCGGAAGGAAATCTCCAAGCCCAGGAAGAGCTGAAATGAAAAGGGGTCTTGAGCTTCAGTTACTGCCTGCTGACCCATGCAAAAGGATGCCTGTCTAGCACAGGAAGTACTAGACATACACAGCATGGAAATAGTGTTACCAGGCAAAGCCGAAGTGGCTGCACAGCACCCAGGCCCTGCAGCGTGGTGCCTATCCCCACCCCCCACCAAAGTTTGACATCTGCCAGTTTGGCCAGTCTGCTACCTGAACAGCTAGCTGGCTTCACTGCACATGTTTGCTATTTCCCTGGTCACTAAGGAGGACGGCTGTTCCTTCGTTTTTCAAGCAGACATTTGTTTGCCAGGCCCTGCCTAGAACAGTGACAATGAACCATAGTGTTCAAACACAAATACCTGGTTGCAGCTCTGCACCACAGGGTCACCACCACTGGCCTAGGGCAGTGGATCTCACAGTCCCACAGAATCTCCCAGTGGCTCTTTATACAGATTATGAGATATGGCTAATCCAAGTCCGTTCTGTGCACCCCCATCCAGCCCAGTAAATCTGCCTAGTCCACCACATCCCCACCCCACTTAAGAACGTCAGCTCAGTGCCCCCCCCAAAGGGGCTGTCGATCTAACTCATCATCTGAGTGCTAGCCTTTTGCTGTGGCTTCAGTTCCTCCCAAGTTTCTCCTGGGCACAGCTGGAGCTTGTACCACTGCAGGACACCCAAGGCCTAGAGAATATCCTGAGACTAAGAATTTCAGTGTGCATCCTCTGCCTAGAGGGTCACAAGCAATTATCCACTTAAGGACAAACCCTATAGCCTTTTACCCAGGACCCCCACTGCTGAACATAACTACATTAAATAACATTTAAATGAATATTTATCACTATATTTCTTTTCAAAAATTTTTTGTTAGTACATGTTTGCAGTACATGTTTACATTCTTTGTTGGGAGTTGGTACACACACAGCTTAATTTTCTTTTATCTCTTAAGCACCCGCTTTCTTTTTTGATTTTTGTGCGGTAGGGTCACACCCTGTAGTTCAGGCTGACCTTGGACTTACTATGTAGCCCAAGCTAGTTCCAACTTGCAGAAATCTTCCTGCCTCGACTCCCATGTGCTGAGATTACAGATACGTACCACCAAGCCTGGCTCCAATCCCTTCCACTTGGGAAAGCCCTGTCTCCTACTTCCTGTATCTATCTGCTACTTTGCTCTTTATTTATGGTTGGTCTTTAACAGATAAGAGAAACCATGATATTGTGTCTGATTTATTTCACATCAGTCTCAATGCGCAGACTATAGTTTCCTTTTGTTCAAATAGTACTGTACTCCATGTAAGTACCACATTTTTTTATCCATTCATCTGTTGATAGGCATGTAGGCTGTCTCCAAGATTTAGCTATTATGAATTGTGCAGCCATAAACAGGGGTAAAAATGTTTCAATGAACTGTCTCATTCATATTTATTTCTCAATAAAAAAATATTTAAAAAAATAAAAAATATTTAAAAAAAGAATGTTTCAATGTTTCAAGGCAATGTAATATGCCTTAAACTCTTAGAGGAAGACAACTAGAAGCAAATAGCTGATGCTGCGGTATTATTTTTAACACCAAGAGTTCACTAACAGGGGCCAGGAAGATGGCTCAGTGGAATAAGCACTTGCCTGGCAAGCACAGTGGCCTGAGTTCAATCCCCAGTTCCGCAAAAAAAAAAAAAAAAACAAAAAGAGAGAGAGTTCACTAACAGGGGGCCAGGGAGATGATGGCTCAGTAGAATAAGCGCTTGCCTGAGTTCAATCCCCAGTTCTGCCAAAAAAAAAAAAAAAAAAAACAGGACCGGTCAGAATGGTTGCATTAAAAAAATCATTATCTAGGTCTCGCAACAGCTCGGTGGTCTAAAGAGCTTGCCTAGGCAAGCACAGGTTCAATTCCCAGCACAAGACATGCCAGCCACACCCTCGGGGCAGGCTCAGCTCGCCAAAATAATAATAATAAAATAAAAAACCAGGTAGGGTGTCCTACACTTTTAATCCCGGAACTCAGGAGGGGAGGCTGATGTAGGAGGATCTCATGAGTTTGAGGAGAGCCTGGGCTACACAGCAGGATCCTGCCTCAAAACAACAATCACCACCACAACAAAATCATTATCTACCAAATGGGCTACTATATAATGATATCACTTAAAAAGAAAAAGAAACTGGGCTGGGGATATAGCTCAGTGGCAGAGTGCCTGTCTGGCAAGTGTGAGGTCCTGAGTTTGATTACCAGTACCAGAGAGAAAGAGACAGAGAGAGCAGAGAGAGACAGAGAGACAGAAAGAGAGCAGAGAGAGAAAGAGAGGAACTAAGGATAGATGTGGGAAATTCATCAAGTTACGTAATTTAATTAAGCAGAGGAGGCAAGGTGTAGACTATATAAAAAGAATACTACCTACTTAGAAAGAAGGGCCATAATAAATATTTGGATTTGCAAAAGAAATACTGGCAGAGTACTTTGAAAGTACAGGGTGGTGAAGAACAGAGAAAACTGTTTTAAATCCACACCTGTATTATTCCAAAAATAAATGCATTACAAGTGGATTATTATTCACAAAACCATTTATATCCCACAGGAACCACTGATTTGCCCTTGTTATCACTGTTAATATTATAAGATTTCCCAAGCCCCAAAGCCAACTCCGAATCTGAAGAAATGGATGCAAGAAGACAACTAGTAACTTCCACCACTCAGATGAAAAGCAGAATCCAGGCAAAGAGGAGATTTATTTATTTATTTATTTATTTATGTATTTAGCAGAACCGGGGATTGAACTCAGGCCCCTGCGCTTGCCAGGGAAGCACTTATTTCACTGAACCATCTCCCTGGCCCCAAGGAAGAGGAAATTTAAACTAGAAAACATTACCGCATACTAGATTCACTTCCTATCTCAGTCTCACTTGCTGAGCTCAAGAATAAAAGAACTGGGGCTGGAGAGATGGCTCAGTGGTCTAAAGCACCTACTTAGAACAAGCTTAGCAAAGCATCAGGGACCGCGGTTCGATCCCCCAGCACCACATGCCAGCCAGCCCCGCCCCCTGGTGGGCTGAGCTGGCCACACACACACACCACTCTCTCTCTCTCTCTAATAAATAAATAAATAAATAAAATTAAAAAAAAAAAAAGAATAAAAGAACTGCTACTTAAATACAAGTAACACAAAGTGTCTGCTCTAGCAAGCACAAGGGCCAAGTGTTCCATGGTCCCACGTGTGGCACCAGCGTGTGGCACCAGCCCTGCCCCCGGGACATGCAAAATAATTTCCAGCAAAAGCCAAAGAAACACCCTCATTTTGTAAATTTCAAGAGTGAGGAGAAACTTAGTAATTTTGCCACCTAAAAAATGCAAAAGCCAACAAAAAGTTTAGGTCTTTACAAATCACCCAAATTCAGCAGACACCTGACTTTTTGGACACCTGCTGAAAAGATAAGCTCAAGATTTTAATTTAATCTTAACAGCTGAACTGATGAAAGGCTCTGATAAAAATATTATTTGTAAAAAAAAAAAATTGTGAAAATGTCAACTCAAAAAATGGAATCCTTGGGGGACCGGGGAGATGGCTCAGTGGAATAAGCACTTCCCTGGCAAGCGCAAGGACCTGAATTCAATCTCCAGTTCCACAAAAAATAAATAAATAAATAAATAAAAATAATGGAATCCCAGTAATTTGATGGTTTCACAAATGTACTGTCCCACCATCTAACGATATTCCAGTCAATGAAAAAAACTAGCTGTGACACAGTAAGAAATTTCTTTTAGTTATAAATCAATGGACACTACTGCAACTATAACAGTATTAATAATGGCCAGCATTTGTTTTTAGCATCCATTAGGTATTTTCCTCTTCAAACCACTTTATAAACATTACAAAGCAGGAATCCAAAAATAGACTTTTTCCCAAAAACTTTTATAAATATTTAGTTGTCCAGCTTTTATCAGCTTTATCAAGAGGCTTATAAACCATGGGACAAAAATGTTTAAAATTAGTTTGGGGGGAGGGAAAGGAAAACAGCTAAAATAGTGTTAACTATTAATCTACACACTTTTATCCAAGTTCGGCTGTGACAGCCACGGAGAAGGCAGAAGGAACTAAAAGGTCAGAAGGATATATTTTAAAGGAGTCAGGAATAACAGCACTCACTTTCAAAATCTGCAGCGTGATCCATTTCCAAAACAGAACACTCAGCCCTGCAGGAATCCAGATGCTTGCGCCAAGAAGTGAGGTCTTATGACCTGCCATTTATAGGCCCTACAAAATGCATCATTTACTTTGCATGCTGTCACAGCGCTCTTCACTAAGGAGATTATCTCACTAGTCTGGCTGTATATTCCACAGCATTTCTTTAGAAATCTCATGAAAAGTTCAATTTCCCTATTTTGTCCTTGTAAGGGCAAAAATGACAGACAATACTTAGCTTGCTACAAGAGAAAAGACTCCTGGGAATTAGTATAGGTTTGGTCCATGGTTTTGGGATAAATTTTGGTACACATGGAAATGTAGAATGTCTGGTG